TTATGACTATATGCTTTCTTCTTTATTTATATAAAGAAGAAAACATATAATTGCGAAGACAAAGTTCTAGTTAAAAATTTCAAATTCAAAAATTTTACTATATTTTGTCATTGAATTTTAAACATGTTCATGAACTTTGAACCAAACCTGAACTGAACATGAACTTGATTTAAAAGTTCAATACTGAACTGAACTGAACATAAACCTCACTTAAAAGTTCAATATTGAACATGATTGAACTGAACCTAAACCTGAACTTGACCAAAGTTCAGTTCAGTTCAGGTTCATAGGAACACTAAAACCTGTTAATAAATATTCTTGTTAAATATTAGGTAGTAGATATAAAATATTTATTTAATAATTTACAAATTTTTATTCAACATTATTGCTAAATTATTAGGTTGTAAGTAGGGATGGGTTTAGGTTACGACTATAGTCAACTATTAGTCGTAGTCGATATTTAGCCGACTGGCTAAACTGTAGTCGATGCCAGATTTTTAATGTTTTAGCTAATAAAAATGATAATTAATACTTAACTTGACATGAGATCATATCAGTGGATCTACATCATCAGAAAATAGAGAAACTTATTCAAATTTTCTAGTCAAATTTGTACCAGATCTTGAACAAACCAAATTTAAACTGGACAAATTATCTGCAAATTATGCAGATCCACAAATTATTGTGGTACATGTTTATGGTTTGATCAATTATTTTTAATATTGTTAATAAAAATTCTAATATCTAAATAAAAAATAAAACTAAAATAGGGTGTTCTTTAATAGCTCTTTTAATATATTTAGTTAGTAATTAAAATATTATTCAAACTATTGCAATTGATTAAGTCGTTAATATGGTCAATTGAAAGATATTTATTAAAAATTTAAATTTATTGCGCAAATTGCAAAATTTAAATTTTAGCCAATTAGGGCAATTCTGTTTGAAAATATTTTTAGCACTACTGTGTAGATTTGTAAAAAATTAAATAATAACACCGATATGATATTAAATAAAAGCATATAATAACTAATTTTTAGATTGGTTTATTTTATATGTATAAATCAAGTTAAATTAACAAAATTATAATATAAAAATTTTGTTTGTGATAATAACTATTTTATTTTTAAAATTTGTATCTAATAAAAGTTCTAGAATAATTAGCAAAAAAATCTTAATAACTATTTGATCAAAATTTTTATTTAAATTTTATAAATTTATAGTATTTAAATAAAAAAAATTTAGTTAAGCAATTGCTAAAATATTTTTGATTAAAGTTTTTAAAAAAAATTAGTAAACATCTAGCTTGTTTTATATTAAATACTCTCAAATACTAAAAAACTAGCATTTTTAGTATAACTGCATTGTATAGCTATTTCATATTGTAATTACTACTACATAAATACATAATAATATATATAAACAAATCATTATTTTAAAATTTTTAAAATTGTATACTTAACTCAAAACATCATTTATATATTTCAAAATAACATGCTTCACGTGTGGCATAATCTCTAGATTTAACATTACTACTTAATTTATTATAATTATAAAATTCTTTTTTCTTCATATCTAAATTTTTTATAATTTGTAAAATAATAAATTTTCAAAATTTTGGAGATATAAAACTCAATTACAAAATAGCCAACTACCCATCAAGTCATTATTTCTTACTACGTATTTATAGAATAGCAATGTTCACTTTGAGTTGATGGATCATTACCCCACCAAGTTGGAAATTGTATCTAAAAGATAAATGTATTAGATATATATATGTATAAATATAGAAATATTAAATGAATAACCTACCTGCACAATACCATTAAGACAAATGAAAGCTACTATTGCCATAATTTGTGCACTGCTATCAAATGCTGCAGACATTATATAATTATATCTATTGTATATAAATGAATCATTTCAAATTATTGATTACAAAAAATAAAAGAAAAATAAATAAAAAACCTACTTTTTCCACCATCTGTGATAGTAATAATCAAATTAGAAACTTTAATTTTAATTCATGTAATAATTAATACGTAGGTTATATACTTACCTATTCTTATATCGAAATGCATAAAATTGACTTAAAAAGCTAGCAATAAAACCAGTAATTATAAAATTTGGATAAGTTCCAGGGAAATAGGTCAGACCATATAATATCACGGGAGTATTCACAAGATTAAATTTTGCTTTTGGAAATTTTTGATGAAGTAAGTAAAATGGTATTGGCAAAAAGCCACCTATTAGGAAGCCCCAAAGGAGTACATTATAAATTGAGCCAGGCTACCAGAAACCACAAGGAATATTGAATTAATGTGTAATTCATGATTCTAATATAAAGTATTATAATATTTATTCAATTGACGTACCCCGAAAGTCCTAGTCGGTCCAATCAAACCCCATACTATAGATGCAGTATTGAACATTTGTGAACCAAAGCCAGCCCACTATATATAAATAGGAAACGTTCTCTTAAAAAGGTTTAAAAAATCAAATCAAACGATAAAAAAACAACTTGCTTGGCCAGTTGGATCAGCTTCTGTGCCATCAAGATAAGGTCTTTTTTTATTGAGTATAATATTCAATGTCCAATAGTTTACAATTACACCAACAAATGTACCCCATATTTGCGATATGAACATGCTTCTTGGAGGAATTTTCATATAATGACCTTTTAATAGAGAAAAGAAATTTTTATAACAGTATTTAGATAATGTCAATGATAAAACTTTCCTAAAGGACATACCCAATTTTAAATCTCCAACAAATAACAAACATTGAGACAGGGATTTAAATGCATAAGCTTTAAAATATACATTTGCAATAGGATAGCCAGGTAAAAGAAAACCGCACACTAATTCAGTCATAATAGTCAAATGAATCTGCCAACTTGAAATAGCCTGAATAATTCCTATCGGTGAGCAAAATTATTTGAGATAATTCAGTATAATTTAAACAAGAGATTTGAACAAGTGGCCATAAATATTGTACCTATCGGAAGCACCATGAATACAGCAATAGCAACAGCCAGCAATGCACCCCACCAAGGTAAATTCGCACCAGTTGTATAGCCAAGGGAAATTGCGATTATTAACATGACAAAAAAAATAACACCATACCAATAATATGGTACTTCTGTTGTCAACGTAAGAATTGATAATGTAAATCATATTTTTATTCTTAATCAACATTAGAAACGAAATGAAAAAAACTTGAACCTGGATAAACATTCATCATTTCGCAGTGAATGTCAACTTCCTCCTTTTCATGAGTTTTCTTGTACCGATTCCAAATTTCCTTTCCATGAAATAATATCACATGACAAATGGTTGCAGGAAATTGCATGAAAAAATAGCCATAATTTGCAGCAAATATAGCGGATATATACACAGGACTATAATTGTCATATGCAGTAACATTGAGAGCACCAGTTACTGGATCAATGATTCTTGTCTGATTATATCTGCAAAAAATATTATTTATGTAGTTTAATAAATTTAATGATGCAACAAACCAAGGGAATTATATTTACATGTGTCCGTCTTTATCAAACGACCGAGACGATGAAAAAGGAAAATTTTGGGCATTACTAAATAAAATTAATAAATTAATTGCAAAAATATGCGACAATCCCATGAGGTTTTATAATATATTGGATCATGCGATGATAAATATCATGAAATTTGTTCCAACAGAACAAATTTTATGATATTATCATCGCATAATCCGAATAATCCAATATCATTGTTATCGTGCAATTACGATCATGATTTACAAGTCACTATTGGCTGATCGAGTTTCAATTCGAGATTGTTGTGCTTATGTAATAACGTACAAAAAATAACCGAAAAAAAAATCTATGATCATAAGAGCTCGCACGATAACATAATTAAATAATAGATAATTACTTACAAGACGTTATTAAAGTATAGTAATGGACCAATAATCCATATCGATAAAACAGCACCAACGTAAAAATTTACTTGAGACCACCTAAATTATAAAGAAATAAATAAATGAATATAAATATGTCAAGTTAAATAATAGGTACATGAGAGTTATAGACAAAAGTTACCATGGAGTGAACAGAGGAGAAACTTGACTAATAGCATTCCAATCAAAGGAAAAGCTAAGAATCCCAGCACCACTATAAACACTTCCCAATGTCTTTACCGCATTATTATTTGGAGCGATAAGGCATAACATGGCTGCACCGGCTAACCAAGGAAATATATATTCTGGCACAAACTGCCAAATGAACATTGAAATAAAAGCGACGATAAAAAATCGAATTTTATCATTTGTTTCTGAAACATTGCCATTGCCATGTAATGTGTTGTACATAGAAGCGAAGACAAGAGATTGAGGCCATATCATGTTAGCTGGACGAACTAAATCTAAATCGAATAATTGATATTATAAAATTGTTCCAGAAAATATTTTTTAAACGGTTATTTTTTCTCTTGACAA